GTATTGTGGGTGAGTGACGGAATACCTCCCTGGCCCCTGTCTTAGGCACTCCTGAGGTGGATAACACGGTAACAATAACTCATGTTGGTCTGACGGGGAGACGAAACGGGAATGGATGTGTCTTATTGGTTGAATAGTGAGGTGAAAATACTAACAAGGGAAGAGGGGGCTAATGGTGTGGTGTAGATGGTAAGACACAAGGGGGGGTAGTTAAAGGGGGGGGGGTGATGGTGTGGTAGAAATGCTTAGACACAATAAAGTAATACAACCAACTATCGATCTATACAGTACAATAAAGACGCATCTATACACCAAACATGATATACAACTTGAGGATAAAACCGAGCTATACACTATTGGTTCGTAACTATAAAAACAATCCTCTTTCTATATATATTTCCAAAAAATTAAAAAAAATCGAAATGAAAGAAAGAATTACTCAAGCTCAGTTCCCGATAAATAAAGAAATGTTTTTACCATTACCATTTATTATTCAACACCCTAAATCACATGTTCTCGACTCTTGAAAAAAAAAATATTCGACTCAAGTTAGGACGTAATTTAGGTAATTAGTTGTTTGAATGGCTGTTGGGGAGTGAAAAAAATCCACACCCTTTTTTTGAACACAGATTAATCCTTTCCTCTCAGATTTCGATTTTGGGAGAGGGGGGGGGGGGATTTTTTTGAGCTTTTAGATTACTTAGACTTATTTTTTTTTTCAAGTTCAAGACGAGAAATATTTCCTGTGAGTGAGATAGTCAACATGTGTGGTGTCTGTTAAGTGGGCCTGGCGTTAGGTTGGTTAGGTTAAGAGACGCACGAAGGAAGAAAGGAAGGAAAAAAAGGAAGGAAGGAAGAAAGGAAGGAAGGAAACGCGATGTGTATGGTAAGCAGAGCGTAAGGTCGTCCCCCCACCATCCATCTTACCTGTCAGCTGAGAAAATGAAACCGGGAGGATGAAGACGACTCCTAAATTCCAACATCTTGATTAGGTGTGTCATCCTGTCATAGCTACACACACACACACACGCACACAGACACACACACACGCACACAGACACACACACTCACATACAGATTTCAGAGTTTCCACGATGCTGTTTTTAGTGTGTGTGTGTGTGTGTGTGTGTGTGTGTGTGTATGTGTGTGTGTGTGTGTATGTGTGTGTGTGTGTAATAGAGGCGTTTTTAATGGTAATGTCTACATGTATATAAAGGAGCTCGTTAACTCAGGGTGTGGTTGTTATGTTGGTGACTGCTTCTCTCTCCACACACCTACACAGCCAAGAGCTAGAGCCGGAGCACCATTAAATATATTATGAAGGTGACATTAATGGTGCATCGCTAAACACACAAGTCTAGTGTCACACCGTATATGAAAACACCCGAGGCTACACTCATACCATCCCTGATACTCCTACACCCACTACACAACTACACCAACCCTACTTCACATTCTACACCCACATTATTTCCTGTTACACATATTACACCCACATCTTTACACCTACACGTCATCCTTCTACACCTTTTCTCCCTCTCTCTCTCCCCTTTGATACACTCATAGTACACCCATACGTCGCTACACTCGCTCGCTTAGCTTTTATACTTTTCAACTCAACACATCAATGGTTCTCTGTCTCCTACACCCCTACAGCTTAATCTTTCTACTATCTCCTCTCCCCTCACCCCAGCAGCTGTCTCCTCACCCCAGTAACTCTCTACTCTCCCCTCACCCCAGTAACTCTCCCCTCACCCCAGTCACTCCACCATTATATGCCTCTTTGCCGTTAACAATCCTACTCGCTACTTTCCGCCTCTCACATGACCCTTCCTCCTCGTCCTCCCCCTCCTTCTCGTCCTCTTCCACCCCCTTCCCCTCCTCCTCCTCCTATCCTCCTCCTCCTCCTCCTCCACGGCTGTTTTTTTTTCCACTTCTGATGAGTTGCCAGACTCTCTCTCTCTCTCACTCTCTCTCTCTCTCTCAACAAAACATTACCATAATGAACAAGTGTAGCCTCAGGGAACACCATCTTAAATTAATTTATAAATGATACAATGAGAGTATTACATTATTAAGAATATAAGAATACACCTGAGGGACTAATTACGGGGGATCTTACCTGTCTGTCTTACCTGTCTGTTTCTTGTAAGACGGTGTACAGGTGTGGTAATGGTATCAGGTTGTGGTGATGTTTTGGTTGTGTGGTGGTGGTTGTGGTGATGATGATGATGATGATGATGATGATGATGATGAGAGAAAGTAGAGGATAATCTTATTAGGAATTTATCCACGAGGAAATTAGTCAGGAAAGAACGAATGCCTCTCTCTCTCTCTCTCTCTCTCCACTCACAGGTAGTGACTTACTGAACCAATCATAGGGTCCTATTTGGCCACTCAGAAAGATTAGCTTATAATAACCAATCAGAGAGACGCATTTACTCAATCAAGAAAATGAATCAATCATATTATGTTATGCGACCAATTAGAAATAGTCACCTAGCCAATCAGAGCATACTACTCCTCCAATCAGAGGGAGTCATCTAGCCACTCAGAGTGTCTGTTTGGGTGAGTGGTTGGCTGGTGCATAAACTATCATTTGTCTATTTAATTACATCTAATTATGAGCGTCATGTGAATTAATTGTCTCGACGTTCACAAATTATGTTCATTATTTTCATATCGTGTAATTAGTTGTGCAAGATTCATCAGTTATAGTATTAATTAACTTTTATTTGGTAGATGTTTACTATAATTTATATAACTAATTACCTATGATTCAGGAATGGGGTAGTCAGGTGTGTAGTGGATACCTGTGTAGTTACCTGTAATTAAGAAGTGACAGGTGTGTTACAGGTGTATATTTTATCCCTTTGTTACCTGTAATTAAGTGACAGGTGTGTTACAGGTGTATAATTTACCCTTTGCTACCTGTAATTAAGTGACAGGTGTGATGAGTGTTACTGTGTGTTACAGGTGAGCGTGGTAGAGCCGCCCTCCACGTTACAGGTGAAGCGCACTACAGGTGAGACCGTCACCTACACTGTTACGGTCAACGAGGGCAGCCAAATCCAGCTCTCCTGCATCGTGACGGGAGGTGAGTGACGGGGTGTGACGGGAGGTGAGTGACGAGGTGTGACAGACAGGGTGTGACGGGAGGTGAGTGACGGGATGTGACGGGAGGTGTGTGATGCAGTGTGACGGGAGGTGAGTGACGGGGTGTGACGGGAGGTGTGTGATGCGGTGTGACGGGAGGTGAGTGACGGGGTGTGACGGGAGGTGAGTGACGGGGTGTGACGGGAGGTGAGTGACGGGGTGTGACGGGAGTTATGTGACAGGAGGTGTGTGATGCGGTGTGACGGGAGGTGTGGAATGATGAAGGATGATGTGGAGTAATGTGGAATGGTGTGGCGGAGGGATGTTAATAAATGTGGAAGGATGGAATTGGCTGTAGAGTGATGTGGAACGGGAAGAAATATTAAGCACAAATAGAGAAGGAGAGCGAAGGGAAAGGAAGAGGGAAGGGGAAGTAAAGAAAGAGGTGAGAGGGAGAGGGTAAGGAAGGGAAGGTAGGGGCCCAGGGAGGAGAGGACTCATGGAGGGGAGGAGGAGGTAAGAAAGGAAAGGGAGAGAGAGGAGTGTTAGCCTCTAATAAATAATTACTGTAGAGGCGAGTGAGAAGGAGTGAGGGAAGGAGGAGAGTTCATTTTATCTCGCTCCCTCCCTCCCTCTCCTTCTTCCCTCCTTCTCTCCCTCTCTCTCTCTCCTTCCCTGCCTCCCTCTCTTTCTCCTTCCTCTCCATCTCTCTCCTTCCCTGCCTCTCCATCTCTCTCTCCTTCCCTCCCTCCCCACTAGAGTCAAGATGTTTGGGTCAATAATGAAGGACTTCCTGTTTTCTTGGTAGATTATTATTATTATTATTATTATTATTATTATTATTATTATTATTATTATTATTATTATTATTATTATTATTATTATTATTATTATTATTATTATTATTATTATTATTATTATTATTATTTGTAACCTAATATGCAATAATGTGGAGTGATGTGCAGTTATGTGGAGTGATGCGCAGTTATGTGGAATGATGCGCAGTGATGTGGAGTAATGTGGAGTGAAGAGTCACATAATATTACACTAACTCCCATAAGCAACAGGCAACTAACAATGACTGAATTAGCAAGAGTGACGCAGTGCAGGTCGACCTCAGTGACCCACTACCTCTGACAGATGTGTTGACAAGGTAAAAGGGATTTGTCATATGGTGTTTCGGCGGCTGTCATGCTGTCACGCTGTACCAGGCTTTTGACATGACAGATCTGGGGAAAGGATTGTGTTTAATGTGACACTTTGAAGGGAAGAATCTACCTGTAATTAGTGGTTAATAATGATTAGTGTTTGTTATGGTAAGGTGTGACAAGGTGAGGGTCTCTACCTGTCAAGTGAGGGTGGGTGGGTGTGTGTGTGTGTGTGTGTGTGTGTGTGTGTAATATAACTTCTCCACCATCCATTCATGCATATATACGCGAGTATATTAGTCCATCCAACTAGCCAGCCATCCATCCATTTACCCATTTCTTTGTCAATCTATCTATCTATCTATCTATCTATCTATCTATCTATCTATCTATCTATCTATCTATCCCCACAGGTCGTCCTCGTCCTCGTGTGTGGTGGACACTGAGGAAGGACTTGGAGGAGAAGGTAGTGGACGAGACTTATGAATCCCTCGAGTCCGACTTGACCCAGAACAACTTGATGTTGCCGCGGCTCGAGTACAACCTCCACCAAGCGAGGCTCACCTGCTACGCCTCCAACACTAACGCCACGAGCCCTCTCTCCTCCCCACTCACCCTGCTGTTGAATAGTAAGTACCTCCTGGCCCACTCATCCCTCTCCTTACCATTCATAGCCCTCTCTCCTCCCCACTCACCCTGTTGTTAAAAAATGAATACCTTGCCCACCCACTCCGCCACTTACTATTTATTCCTCTTACTTTCCCACTCACGCCCACTCACTTTCCCACTCATAATAGATTAAACCTGACCACTATATAACGAGCATTAAAACCTCTCTCTAGAAAAACCAGGAAATAAAACCATTTTCCTTTATTATAAAAAACCTTCGTTAACAGATCCTAGGCGAGAAAATCTTAAGAGATCAGCCTAGAAGATTGCCGTCTCTCCTAGCCACATCTCCTAACCATGTCTCCTAGCCGCGTCTCCTAGCCACGTCTCCTAGCCACGTCTTCTGGCCACATCTCCCATCCACATCTCCCATTCACATCTCTCATCTACATCTCCTAGGCATATCTCTCATCCACATCTCCTAGCCATATCTCCCATCTATATCTCCTAGTCAGAATATTCACGCTGTTCTCCCAACATCTTCACGCGCTTTGCATAATCCAATTGTGGGCGCCATTAACTCAAGTCGACTCACACACACACCAAGAGACCCGACCAGGCCAACACTATCTGTCCGGGGGGAGGGGGAGAGAGGAGGGGGTGGTGAGGTCTTTCTCCATGGGAGGAGGGGAGAAGGGTTGGGGGGAGATATCTCTTAATTGCTAATTTTACCCTGAGACAAACCCTAAAGATTACAGTACTTATTTTACCCTGAAACACGACATAAACATTACTTATTTTACCCTGAAACATTACCTAAGACATTGTTAATTTTACCGTGAAACATTACCTAAAACATTGTTAATTTTACCCTGAAACATTACCTTAAACATTGTTAATTTTACCCTGAAACATTACCTAAAACATTACTCATTTTACCCTGAAACATTACCTAAACATTACTGGGTCTCGCTGTAATAACCCACTACTCTCCTGTAATGTTTAATTAAAAAAGAACATCATGTACTACAATATATCGCTCGCCTGCAACATATTATAATATATAATTGTAATATATCATGTGTGTATATAATGGGATACAGGATACATATTATAACACCCAGAGTTAAACCGTGAAGTTAAACCTAAACCAAACTATATTAACACTACTACTAATTTAACCTTATATAACTTAACTTCATCCTAAGCTAAACTCTAATAACGACTCATAATTTAACTTAAACCTAACTTAACCCTTAGCTAAACTATATTATCCTACTGCTAATTTAACCTAAACTAACTTCAATTTTGCCTTAACCTAATCCAGACCTAACATTTAATTAATATATCAAAGGTTAATAAAAAGACATTAACCATTAACTCTCAGATAATCTTAACTGCTTGTTGTGTTACAGTGGCACCCAGAACCGTCAAGATCACTGGGTTAACTTCACCTCTCCTGGCTGAGCGGCGGTACAGGGTGGGTTGTGAGACGACAGGAAGCAGACCAGCCCCTAATCTCACCTGGACCATCAAGCGACCTGAACGATTGGAGGAAGTCATTGCTACGGAGGTAAATCATCATTAACCCCTTTTTTGAAACCTTAATTAATCCAGGTCATTTTGTTGATTGTATGAAGGTCAATATCTACATTGAGTTCCTAACCTAACTTAACTTAACCTTATTTAACCTAGCCTAACTTAACCTAATGTAAGTTAACCTAATTTAACCTAACTTGACCTAATATTTCGTCTCCCATATTCAAAACTTATTAAACATTCTCTCTCTCTCTCTCTCTCTCTCTCTCTCTCTCTGTCACATTCAGCACCTACCTCATACACCCTCCCCCCACCCTCTCCTCCCATGGTCAAAAAACTTAAAAAAAAAACCTCTTTCTCTCTCTCCCTCCTCCCAGACTTACCTAATAGCCTTTCTCTCTACCACGTACAGAAGTTATCAACGAAGAACGTGAGCAGGTCGTGGCTGGAGGTGAAGGTGAGGTGGAACGATCATGGTGCCACACTCCGCTGTTCCGCCTCCAGTCCAGCTTTACCTGAACGAGTGGTGACTAATAGTTCAACCTTTGATGTTCACTGTGAGTACCTACCTGTCTGTCTGTCTGTCTGTCTGTCTGTCTGTCTGTCTGTTTGTCTGTCTGTCTGTCTCTGTCTGTGTCTGCTTTTTCTTCTTCTTCTTCTTCTTCTTCTTCTTCTCAGTTGTGTTGGGAGTTGAGACATTAATTTTTGGGTCTTTTTACTACGATTTTATTTTCGTATGTAGACAGAGAGAGAGAGAGAGAGAGAGAGAGAGAGAAAGAGAGAGAGAGAGGTGAGAGAGAGAGAGAGAGAGAAGCACTAGGTGAAGGAGGTAACTTCAGTTGAGGCGGACATTGGAAAACACTTTGTAATATTGCATTACCTGAGTCTGCATTACCTGTCTGGCCACCTCTCTCAACAGACGTTCATGTGTGTGTGTGTGTGTGTGTCACTGGAGATTATTTTAGGAGAAACCAGACATGTACGTACACAAAAACACATATACAAAACACAGGTTAAGTTAGGTTAGGTTAGGTTTGACTAAAGTAATCTTTATAGACCGCACGCAATAGCAAGTCGATTTCTTTTTTTACAGCATAATTATAATTATTGTAAACAGTAAACTAATCATAGGTGATTATATGTTGATCCTCGCCTTAATGTGGGATTATGACAACATTCACACGAGATCCTCTCTCTCTCTCTCTCTCTCTCTCTCTCTCTCTCTCTCTCTCTCCAGCGTACCAAAAAAAAGGTGAACGTAATGCCAACAACAAGATAAAAATGTTCCTGAATATTAAAGAAGTGAGTAAGAGGCTTATGTTAGCTTATGAAATGGGATGATATGAAGAGAGAGAGAGACAGACAGACAGACAGACAGACAGACAGACAGACAGACAGACAGACAGACAGACAGACAGAAATATGTGACCTGTTTCATCATGTATCTTATATTAGTGATAAATGAATTCTTATGTTCTCCCTGTGTCTCTCATATAACACTATTGTTCTCCCTGTCTCCATAGTCTCCCCGCGGCTACAGCTGAACCTGGGCCGGATGCTGCAGCCAGATGGCATCAAGGAAGAGATGGATGTTTACTTTCACTGCTCCGTCACTGCTAACCCAAAGGTGTACAAAGTCACCTGGTACCATAATGTAAGTGTATCTCTCACAAATTACAGCAGCCATTATACTCTTAGACTCACATGAAATGGAAAATGCATATATGAATTATTTTCCTCTAAGTGGCCATTAGTCAGACGCTTAAATATATATTTCTTTTACAACTGTGTGATGTCCAAACAGGTAAACATAACAGGTGTGCCATCAAACGGTGCACCTGATAAGTGGTGTATTACTGAACTCTACATTTATAAGTATGTAGTCAACCTGGGTCGGGGTGTAGTGGGGGAGTGAACACAGCACTCGATTCATATAAAAAGAGTCGTTGGTTTGATCCCATGTTACTTTTATCCCACCTCAGCACACAAGGTACCTTACACACACACACACACACACAGGTAAAATGCTCGCTTACCTGTGGCGCGTCTCATCAACTTACCTGTGACAGTGTGGGTCTCTGTGGTGTCTCGCTGTGAAGTCGTTTACCTGGCTGTTGGGAGGACTATTTTGTACCTGGGTGTTGGAAGGCGTGTACTTGGAAGTTGGTAGGGTGTGTAGGTGAATGCTGGAAGGAAAGTCTGGTACGTGGATGCTGGAAATGTCATGAACGTGGATTTTATAAGTACGCGTACGTGAGGTGATGGTGTGAAGCCTTAATCACGTGGGAAGCCTCGGGGTTAATTACCAGCTTAATTACCACAGACTGGGGGCGTGATAATTAAGGGTTAGTGTCTAGCCTCAGATTCTTAGCGGAGGGGCGACGAGGCTAGATAATTAACAAAAGTTTCCTGATGGTGCAACGTGTTAATTAACGAGAGGCTTTGAGGAGACAGGTAGCCCAGGTGTTGTCGGTGGAGTGTTGGAGGTGGAATAGTAATGCTGGTGGAGTGTTGGGGGTGGAATGGTAGTGGTGGAGGGTAGTGGATTGTAGAGTGGTAGTGGTGGAGGCTAGTTGATTGTTGATAGTGGGGGACAGAGGATTGTTGGTGGTAATGGTGGTGGTGATGGAGTGATGGAGTTGTGATGCAGTGGTGGAGTGATGGAGTTGTGATGGAGTGGTGGAGTTGTGATGGAGTGGTGGAGTGGGGGAGTTGTGAGGGAGTGGTGCAGTGATGGAGTTGTGATGGAGTGGTGGAGTGGTGGTGAAGGCCAGGCTATTGGGAAACTGGTGAATTTGGGAGGAAATAAAAAGGGAAGAGAGAAAGAGAGAAAAAGAGAGGAGGGAAGGAGGGAGTGGGAGGAAGAGGTGGAGGGAGGGAGGGAGGAGGAGGGAGGGGAGGGAGAGGGGTAGGGAGGAGGGAGGGAGGAGGAGGGAGGAGGGAGGATGGAGGAGGGGAGGGAGGGAGGGGAGGAGGAGGAGGAATACAAAGAAAGATCGTTCCTTGGTACTGACAGGAATCAGAAATAAAGAAATTAACAGACAGGCAGACCGACGGAAAGAAAGAGAATGCAAAACAGAGACAGAATGACAGAAAGAAAGGCAAACAAACTGACGGGAAGACACACACACACACACACACACACACACACACACACACCACTACCATATATCTAACTACCATGTTTCTCACCATCTTAACTACCCATATCTCTCACCACTATGTCTCCCTCTTCCCTCCCTCAGAACGTGGAGGTACAACAGGACCCTTCTGCAGGAGTACTGGTGTCCGACGATCACTTGGTCCTACAGAAGATCAAGAGACGCTGGAGTGGTTCTTACGTGTGCCGCGCCTCGAACGTGGTCGGGGATTCACAGTCTGAACCTCTTAATATAACCGTGCGGTGTGAGTCGTCTTATATACTCCTGTTGTCTTACTGTTGTCTTACTGTTGTTTTACTGTTGTATTCCCGTTTTTTCTTCCTGTTGATGTCTTATTGTTGCTTTCCTTCCCGTTGTCTTAGTGTTATCTTAATGTTATCTTCCTTCCTCCTTATCTTCCTGTTGTCTTCCTACCTAATTGATAGATCTTTCGGTATAGTGCCCTGTCAGTAACTGCTGTTATCTCCCACAGCAGCAAGTTTGTCCCCACAGCGGGAGTAGATACTGCTGTGAGGAGCAAAGCACAGCCTTTAATTCATCAAGACTTACTTATTACAGTGTGTGTGTGTGTGTGTGTGTGTGTGTGTGTGTGTGTGTGTGTGTGTGTGTGTGTTTTCTTTATGCACACACACACACACACACGCACACACACACACACACCTTTGATCACCTGATATGAACTATTAATTAGTCCTGACACACGCAGTATAATGGCGTCACTCGGTAGCATGACTCATTAGCCTTACCTGAAGCCATTAAAGAAATTGGCTCTGTGTTTACTACCTGGACATAGCGCCACTAAAACACGGACCATAAATGAGCGCCAATATTAGTAGAAAACATCATGTTCTCATCTAACGGAAGGAACGCCAGGCATTTGTTAATTCTCGTGCTGGCATTAATGTTTTAGTTTTAAGATATCGCCAAACGTTGCATATTGCCAGTAGTCACTTTATTTTCTCACTTAACATCATAAAAACATAAGATAAACTCTAGTGTTTTTCATCATCTTTACACACACACACACACACACACACACACACACACACACACACACACTTAAGTTATAGCCTAGACCTCATCGGGGTTTAGTTCATAAAAGGTTATAACAAAGCGTCTTCACCGCGTCATGAAGGCTTCAGTAATGACGATTTAGGACGAGTTAATGCAAATATACGTCTCCTCTGACAATGCAGTGAGCTGGGCATTATACGGTGTAATGTGCACTTCTTCTCTATCAAGGTGGTCTGTAAGTGACGTTAAGGTCTGGCGGTGGATATTTTGGCTTGCTCTAATGGCTTAAGGAACTGGCCATCTCTCTCTCTCTCTCTCTCTCTCTCTCTCTCTCAGCTCCTGAATTATCGCCCTTCTTCTAATTTTCTGTTTTGAATGTTTTTTTTTTATTTACGTATGACAAAAACTAAACGAAAAATACTTGAATTGGTTAGTGTTGTTGTTGTTGTTGTTGTTGTTTTTCTTGTTCTTCTTGTTCTTCTTCTTGTTCTTGTTCTTGTTCGTCTTCTTCTTCTTCTTCCGCCACTTCAATCTCTCGTCCCATAAGTTTTTTGTTTAATTTTCTTGGTATAAAAATTTGTGAAGGGTAGAGTACTTGTGTTGATTAATTAACTCGTCTGACCTTTTCTTACTATTTGACTTTCTCCTCATCCTCCTCCTTCCTTTCTCCTCCTCCCGTTCCTCAATCACCTCCTCTTCCTCATCCTCCTCTTCTCCTCCATCTCCACCTCCTCCTTCACCTCCTCCTCTTCTCCCATGATTTTTTGTTATATAATTCTTTAATTCTTCTTGTAATATGATTTTTGGAATATAATACTCAGGTAAATTTTCACGGTACTAATTAATACGGTTAACCCGACAGACGCGCCCATCTGTGCGTCCACATCTACGGCAGTGTTCCGGGCGGCGCTGGGAGAGGAGATCATTCTGCCGTGTAGGGTTCTGTCTCACCCTCGTAATGTCTCCTTCTCCTGGACCTTCATGAACACCCTGACGGAGGTAGGTGGTGTGTGGGGGTGTGGGGAGGTGTAGGGGAGTGGTGGTGTGGGGGGTGGGTGTAGTGGTGGATGTGTGTGTGTGTGTGTGTGTGTGTGTGTGTGTGATAACTTGCTTGAAAATAGGCAGCTGTAGGTTGAGTTACTTTACTTATACACACAACACAGACAGCCGGTTCACACACACACACACACACACACAACACAGAATCAAAACAAGTCAACTCATGCCTCGTGTACTCCGCCAAAACAACACAACAACAACAAGACAAAATATAGGTGTAGTTCATCCTAGACGAGCTGCCGGTAACACAATAACAAGGTCATCCTGGGTTAAGAAAACACGCAGGTCCTTCTGTCAACAAAGGTGCAGGTCGGAGTGTTGTCATGGAGGTGTTGTCCTGGGAGTGTACCTTTGGGAGATGTGTGTGTGTGTGTGTGTGTGTGTGTGTGTGTGTGTATGTGTCTTTACGTAACATATCTCTCCAGTATTAACTCATCTTAATCTATAAACTAAACTGATCATCTCATATCAATCTTGTCGAAATAAAACACAAGTATACTGAAATAAACTATTTAACCATAAACCAAACATACATATAAACAAGACGATCCCTCTCTCCCTTCCCTTCCCTCCCACCCCATTCCCCTTTTCCTATCACCACTATCATTAGTTTCCAACCCCTTTCTCCCCTACCCTGCCAACTCACCCCCTTCCCCTGCTTCTCCAGCACGAACGAGTGCCTGGCGAACGTGTCTCCTGGAAGGGGTTGGAGTCTCGTCTGCGTTACCTGCCGGAGAAGACACAAGACTATGGCACCTTACACTGCTGGGCGTCCAATGTTGTCGGTCACCAGAAGGAGCCCTGTGTGTTTACCATCAAGCCTGCGGGTGAGTAGTAGTAGTAGTTGTAGTAGTAGTTGTAGTAGTAGTAGTAGTAACAATGGTAGTAACAGTAATACAACCTACAAACTGGGGGTCATTGTCAAGCTCTTGATCACCATTGTGTCCAAATCCCAACGATCTGGCTTAACAAAGTGTCTGCGATATCACTCTGACAAGAACTACGTGCTTTGAACTGTACTTGTATTCGGTCAGAGGGTGTGGTGGGTAGGGGTGGTGTACAGTGAGGGGAGGGAGGGAAGGGGAGTTGTACAGTGAAGGAGGAAGGGAAGTGAAGGTTCCTACTATCAGCTGGCCCTCGTGTTCACATCTACATAGACTGGTATCTAGTTGCTGTGTTTACGCCTAGTTGCCGTCCTCACCACCAGAGGGTCGCCACCACGGTACTTGGCGCGTGACACAAAGCGGGTAATTGATTGGAAAGATAAACAAATGAAGACGTTTATCTTTTGCTGTGTCTCCCGACTCTCGTGAAATTGGTAATTGTCTCGGCTCACAGCACACAATTGCCTGCACTTATACCTGCTACAGTAGCTGACGTGTATTGTGGTACGTGGCAACTCTGTGTTTGATTACATTGTATTAAAACTCCCGCATTGGCACTAAGGAACGTTGCAATAGTAGCCAGACTAAGGATGTTAGATAAGAATCGCAAAGTGTTGCCACATTTCACAAAACGCGCCAGCCTCTGTACCAGGTGTAAGTGAAGGCGACTGTATATAGGAACCCCTTCTCACCCCTCCCCCTCACCTCACCCCGCCATACAGAGTCGGTCCTCACACGTTCTCTGTCTTGTGAACGTTATATTAGACTTGACTTTCATCAAAATATATTATGTTCTTGGAGCTATTATCGTTTTGTTAACATACTGAATTTAGTAAGAATATTATCACGTTCAAAGAAGAAAAAAATGATATAAATGGGAATGATATTAAGTCGATCTATTTCTTCTGACATTTATTTTTTGTAGATAATGTTTATTTAATGAGATGAATGCCGTGGAAGCCTGGACGTTGATTGGTTAGTCGAAACCTGAACGTTGATTGGCTGCGTGACTTCTCTGACGGACAAGAGGATTTAGATAGAGTTGTTACTGAGTTTCATTTAAGAATCGAGGTTTGTATTGTGATTAGATGCCACTGAAAGACATTCGATCCTACTTGAAAGACTACGATTAGAAAAGGGGATTTTCTTCTGATTGGATTCCGTTTAAGACAATTACCCTTATTACATTTGATGATTGGAGTAAAGGATTCGCATGATTCGATTCCACGGAAGAAAATCAGTCCTACGTGAAGAGATGAGTTTGCACGAGAACAAGACACGAGATCCTTAGCGAGACATGAGACACGAGAAAGAACGAGTAACGAGACATCTCCCTCCTGTCCACCATCTCAAAAGAGGCGAGAACGGATAGAAGTACGAGACCCTCAACGAGACATCGATATCAAGGGCACTTACATAGCACCTCCGAGAGATATCACACGAGGACGGACACGAGATCATCTACGAGACATCAAACACGAGGACAGACACACACAGACGAGCAACGTGAGGTTTATCGACCAGGTGACAAAGGTGTGTTGCTGAAGATATCTCAGGTGCGACTTGTAAACACGAACGCTGGCAGTCACGTGTGGTGGTGAGGCCGACTCTTGTACTGTGGTGGTGTGGTGCTGTGGCTGTTGATGTGATGCTGTGGGAGTGTGGTGCTGTAGTAGTGTTGATGTGGTGGTGTGGGAGTGTGGTGCTGTAGTAGTGTTGATGTGATGGTGTGGTAGTGTGGTGCAGTGGTAGTGTTGATGTGGTGGTGTGGTGGTTAGGTGCTGGTTCTGTGGTGGTGTTGTGATGGTGTGGTAGTGTGGTGCTGTGATAGTGTAAGGGTGAGGATGACTCTTGTGGTGCTGTGAGAGTGTGTGGTGCTGTTGTGGTGTGGTTGTGGTGGTACAAATAGCTCAAGTTAAATAATTCATGTAACTATTTTTAACATAATATTTCATGTTTGTTTTCTGTGATTCAACTACCAGGATTATTAAGGCCATTCACTAGGTCTTAATCCCTCACCATAAACAACTTTTAAATTCTCAGGGAAGAAAAAAGATCCACGAATCAGGTCAAGAAAGACACACATTGTGCTGGCTGACGCAGGTAAACATCCAGAGTGGACCAAAGTCTCGCCTGTTCTTACCATCCATAAAACACTTTGTGTACACGAGACAAACACAGCACCCCTGGCCTCGTGTGTGTGTGTGTGTGTGTAGGTGTGTGTGTGTGTGTGTGTGTACTAACCTACGTTCACCAATATTGACACTCATTAATATGACACACACTGCCATGACTGTCACGTACAGGTCTCGTGTCATGAGGAACAGATCATCGCGTGAAATATTCTTAATTATGTACCGAGTCTTAAATAATATTGTAAGTGGAGTTGTTTGGTCAGTAATAATATATTGAGGCTTTGTAGTCTCGTGGTTTATTGGTTCAAAGGTTCATTCGTGTCGGAGTTCACTGGTTCGAAGCTTTATTGGATCAAAGCTTTAATGATCTAAGGGTTCATTGGTAGTACGCACACACACACACACACACTGAATCAGGAAGAGGTTGTGCAGCAGAGCGGGGAAAGAGACATTGTGTGTGTGAGGGCCGTGTGTGTGTGTGTGATCAGAAAATTTAACCTAAAACAAGAAGAAAAAAACATGTTTCTACGGAGAATGAATGTGTAGGTTGAATGTTGACAATGATTAAATGAGAAAGAAGGGATCAGAAACTTAACCCAGAGACATGTTGGTTTCTCAGACGCGTGTGGGAGGGTGTGACTGTTGAGGAGTGAGTGAGAACGATAGGGGAGAATTTTATTTAGTGAGAGATATGGTGTGTTGTAGAAAATTACCCTGGTAAACCTTGCTCTCTCTCTCAATAATCGAAAAACTATTTATTCCATGCTGAGCTGAGGGTTGCCGCCTGACCTTACTCATTATTCACTAGTTTCTTTAGTTATTCATTGTCTTGTTTTTTTTTCAATTTTTTACTCTTATCATTCTCTGTTATTTACTGTTTTTTATTTAAATTCTAGGGTTATTTTCTTTAATTGTAATCATGATTTTTATTGTTTTTTTCTGTTTTTTAATAGTTTTTATTTTGTTATTTTTTATTTTGATTGTCTTTGTTTTATTTTATTTTATCAGTTCTTATTTATTTGTTTTTTTATTTTCATTTAGACATTTTTAATCAAATTTTATTTTTTTAAAGAAATTTTTAATATATTTTGCTTTGATTTTCCTTTCCTTTCATGCAATTTTAATTATATTTATTTTGCCTTTCATCAGTATTTTCATTTGATCTGTTTTGTTGTTTTATTGAATTTGTCTTTCAGTTGTATTTCTAATTTATTTTATTTTTTTACGTTGAATTTTATTTTGCCGTTTTTCTTATTGATATTTGACCTTGCAGTTGGGGAGGTGAGGACGATCAGGTGTAGTGCCGGCCATGCTGCCTCCTTGTGTAACTGAGGGTTAGTATACAGTGTGTTATATCTACACCTACTGGGCCCTCCTAAACGGGCCCATCACGCCTATGGGGCCCATTTTCACCTATCATGACCCTCGCTATTCTTCAACCTACAGGAGTTCCGTCAAAGCCTCAGAACTGCACCGTGAGTAACCAGACTTGGGAGAGCGTGGAGGTGACCTGTGGTGACCTCGGGGGTATGCTGGGTCACCACAGGGGTTACGGTGGGTATGACTACAACCGCCTGGGGTATGAGGACGTGCCCACACCTAGCAACCCTGCTGAGCTACTGCAGGATAAAGACAAGCCCCGGTACCTCCTGACGGTGCAGGAGAGGAAGACCTTGGCTGTTGTACATAATGTTACTGGTGAGTCTCTCTTTCTTGTTGTTGCGTGTGTGTGTGTGTGTGTGTGTGTGTGTGTGTGTGTGTGTGTGTGTGTGTGTGTGTGTGTTTTCTATAATAAAATGCAGACAGTATCTACCATTTTCTGTTGCAGAGAATTGTGTGTTGCCTATTAAGCTGTTACTAAAAGTGTTTCAGAGAGTGTTGGTTGATAAGTGTTGCAGAGCCAATAAGTAAAACCATTGTGTTGTGTTGCAGGAGAGCGCGGGTTGTTCTCGGTGACGGGTCTGACTCCTGGGCTGGACTATATAATATTACTCTTCCGCTACAACAGTCATGGACGCTCAGCTAATGTCACCCTGGAGACCTTTACCTTAAGGACGGCAGAGAACAGAATGAGTGAGTACCTAGTGAGGGTGTTCTCTCTCTCTCTCTCTCTCTCTCTCTCTCTCTGTCTAGTTTTGTTAGTAGCGCTGTGGTAAGAGATGAACGGCTTGGTGTGTGCTTGTCTATGGTACCCCAAGGTCGTCTCTTGGTTCCTTCTCTATTTTGTTTTGGTACCACTGGGGACGCACAAGTGGTGATATTTTCCGTTCTAGTGTTACATTGATGATTTCTAGTCCCTTATAGTGCAGTCTATGTGTTTTCTCCTACAACTGTATGCTAAGAAGGCTTCCTGTGCCATCTCTCTGGTAACAGCCGTGATGGAGAAGTGAATGTTGCTGCTTTTACAATGTCACAGAGGAATAATGATGCTCTTTGGGTTATAGCAGTGATGATATATAACAATGGTACTATAGTGGTGCTGTGATGTGTGACATGAGAGAGTGAGGTACTGGTTTTCAATGGTACTTATGTAAGGAAACGATAATGTCGATAAAAACTGACGATATTATTTTGCTTTCGTGTCTGTCTCAGGAGAAGAAGAGGAAGGTGGAGAGTCCGCCCTTCTAGGTATGGTGTTGGGGGTGATTGGCGTGGTGTTGTTACTAGCCGTGGGCGCCATTGTTATTACCCTCCGGTCCCGTTCACGCCCACGGTCCTCCACACCCACGGAGACCACCCGCTTACCCCCAGGGGAGACCAATGACTCGACGGGTCTGGACCATCCGGACCTGCTGGAGGCTGAGAGTCATGCTGTTCCCACTGGACCTTATCGGCCTACTGAGGTCACACAAGCGGTGAGTTGACCTGACCTCATGTGACCTGCCCCTCGACGCCACATATACTGTATCCAGAGACATTATCTCCTATCCTGAACCTATCCTACGTGTTACAGCATACACACACCTCAAACGCACCTCACTCACGCCCACACACACTCCCCACACCCCTCACGCTCACCACCCCCTCACCCCCCCCCCACACACCACATCACACATGAGACAACAGACAGACTCAACAGACAGGGTTAGCATATACTGAACAAGTCTGAGCTTCTTATAGCAGAGATCTTATAAAAAAATGAATATATTGAAGGAAAAAATAGGTCTTGTTATTAGCTTTAAGGGGGTCTGCTTTAAGGGGGTCTGCTTTAAGGGGGTCTGCTTTAAGAGATTCAGGTAATTAATTCTATTCTCTCTCTCTCTCTCTCTCTCTGTCTCTCTCTCTCTCACCTCCCGTGTTCTCTCCCGCCCACAGCTCTTGTCACCAGCTCGGCCCATGGACGAGGAGATGAGTCTCACGCCCACATCCGTCTCGCCCACCGCCCACCTGGACTACCTGCCGCGTGAGGTTCCAGAAGCCCTGTCTCCGAGTGTAAGGTCTCACCCACGCTTGTATGTGAGGGCGGAGGGTCACACCGGTCAACAGGAGAGCTTCCTCTGAACACCCTCCGCCTAGCTGCTACAGTACCACCAGGGGGACGAAGAGGGTCACTCACCTAAAGTGTTTTTTTTTTCAATATCGCCAACTAGTATAGTGTTATTATTTTATAGAGTATGTTGATATATCTACCTGGGTCTTGATATATCTACCTGGGTCTTGATATATTTACCTGGGTCTTGATATATCTACCTGGGTCTTGATATATCTACCTGGGTCTTGATATATCTACCCGGGTCTTGATATATCTACCTGGGTCTTGATATATCTACCTGGGTCTTGATATATCTACCCGGGTTTTGATATATCTACCTGGGTCTTGATATATCTACCTGGGTCTTGATATACCTACCCGGGTCTTGATATATCTACCCGGGTCTTGATATATCTACCCGGGTCTTGATATATCTACCCCGTTCTGTTAATCAGTGTATCCGGGTGAGTTGGTCTATTAATCCGGGTCCATTGTAAAAAAAATTACTATTCCCGGTTTACATAGGACACTTTATTCCCTTGCATCTTCTTCTACGAGTTGAGGGAATATTTTTATCGATATTCCCGCAAAGACGGAAGATTTTAAGGACAGATATTCCATTGGGGAAGAAAATATTTTACCAAGGTGTTGTTGTTTCTATGAAGACTGTCACGAACGAGCAACTGAATCCGGATTTGTTTGTTTATATAGCTGTGTGGTGTTGTGATGACGTATTTACCTGACCAGGGAGTTGACGTTCGTGAGTGCTTGAAAGGCGTGGCCAATGAATTCGTAAATGTTTGAAAGGCTTGGCCAATGAATTCGTAAGTGCTTGAAATAAGTAGCCAATGAATTTGTAATTACTTGAAAGACGTAGCTAACGAATTTATAAGCACTTGAGTGACGTGGCCAGCGAATTGACTGACGTTCATGAGTGCTTGAAAAACATAACCAGTAAACTGGCGTTCATGAATACTTGAAAAAAAATGGAAAAAATTATATTGTGAGAAAACCCAAAAGATCGATGAAGAAGATTTAAGACTTTATTCATTTGTGTCCCTGTTTGTGTATAAAGGCTACAGAAATGTCCTAAAATGTGTCGATCCAGCGCAGGTTAACAGAAGCGGTTCCTCGTTGTGTTATGATTTGATAATGTTTTTTGGAACTTAATGTAAATAAACAAATATGGAAGTGCAGTTGAGATAATCAGTTTAGAAAGTGCAGTTTAAGACCAGATGATCACTTAAAGAATGCAACTTAATACCAGATGATTAGCTTAAAGGGTGCGGCTTAATACCTGATGATCAGCTTAAAGAGTGCAGCTTGAGATCATTGAAACATACATAAATTAGTGTGAAAATAGAAAAGTAAGATGTGTAAAGTAAGAGAAGAGAAATTTATACTAAGGAAGAAGAAAGGAAATGTGAAAAGAAAGAAAATGAAATAAAGTGAGAAGATAAAATGAAAGAAATATCAGGTTGACTTGTACGTGTTAGATCAACTTGGTTCGTGTCAGATCAACTTGGTTTTTCTCAGATCAACTTGGTTCGTGTCAGATCGACTTGGTTCGTGTCAGATCAACTTGGTTCTTGTCAGATCAACTTGGTTCTTGTCAGATAAACTTGGTTCGTGTCAGATCGACTTGGTTCGTGTCAGATCAACTTCGTTCGTGTCAGGTCAACTTGGTTCTTGTCAGATCAACTTTCAATATGTCAGAAATTGCGGTAGACTGTCTGATAATAGTTTTACAGATATATTGCTGTCTGAAAGTATTAATTGTAAAGAAAAAAAAGGCTTTTTATTTTGCCGTGTGAGAAACTTTGTCTAGTAAAGATGGGGGAAAAGTTTTGTTGGAAGTTGTTTGTGACTCGGCATGTGACGGTAGCGTGTGACGGTAGTTTGTGACGGTAACGGTAGGGTGTGACGGTGACGGTGAGGTGTCGACAATAGGGTATAGGTGTGATGATAAATTACAGGTAACGTTATGGAACTGGTGACGGTAAGATAAAGGTAACGGACGATTGGGTGTAACGGTAACAGTGAGGAGTGACGGTAACCTAGAGGTGTAACGGTAACAGTGAGGAGTGACGGTAACCTCGAGGTGTGACGGTAACCTCGAGGTGTGACGGTAACAGTGAGATGAGACGATAATAGTGATGCTAATAAAACTGCAGCAAAGAAGGAAGGAAGGAAGGAAAGAAGGAAGGAAGGAAGGAAAGAAGGAAGGAAGGAAGGAAGGAAAGAAGGAAGGAAGGAAAAATCAACGTAAAAATTTCACCCAAAGGAAAAAAAAATAATAATAATAATAAAAACCAAAACAACATCTTTACTTCCACAATATTTCGAAAACTTCCAGGTTGTGTGTTAGTCAGTTCGTGTCCTCTACTTTCGTTCACAACAACACTATTATGACTCACGACTAAGACAGACAATGACTAAAACTTAAACCCGAAACTATTTAAAATTTATCGTATGTGAGTGAAAAAAAAAACTCTTTGATATTTTTTCTTCGGTAAGAGTGAACGCTTAATATACATATTGTAAAAAAAAATAACTAAAACAATTAATAATATTTCATGTGTATGATAAATGGAGCAGCTGTTTTGATTTCCAGCTTTTGTTGTGCTTTCTCCATGTGCGAAGATATTTTTAAAACTTTCTAATGCTGAGAGAGTGAAAGTGAGAGTTAAAGTGAGAGTGAAAGTGAGAGTGACAGTGAGAGTGAAAGTGAGAGTGAAAGTGAGAGAGTGATAGTGAGTGAGAGAGAGTAAGTTATTGGTGTGTATGTGTGTATCAACTTTCTACTCTGGGAAAGTGAGTGTGAAAGTTACCATATTGTCCAGTTTTCTCTGTGTAATAAATGTGAATATGTGTGTGAGGAAAGGGGGGGAGGGCTTGTACCTTTTATTGAGAATTGAATTTTAATCCAGAATAAATAAAAGTTTAACAGTAAAATGTATGAGGCCAAACACACACACACACACACACACACACACATACACACACACACACAGAAACTCACTACAAATGCTAAAATGCAAGATATACACCTTAATCAATCTTTCTCTCTCTCTCTCTCTCTCTCTCTCTCTCTCTCTCTCTCTCTCTCTATCTATCTATCTATCTATCTATCTATCTATCTATCGTGTCACTCACATACACTAAATGAAGTAGTAATTGACACGCTATCATCTAAAACATATAACTATTAAGTTACAAAACACAGTTACTAAAATAAATAAATTAAATATATATACACGTACTCATCTGTTACATAATTAGATATTTTAAATGAAGGGTAGTTGGTATTTATCGTAAGTTTATTATACAGATGTGATATTAATGCTAGAAGAGGTGACAGATTCTCAATGGTTCGTAAGTTGAACTCCCATTAAATGTTCGTAAGTCGAATTTTTCTAAAGATTCGTAAGTTGAAATTTTCATCTAAATGGTCATAGGTTGAAATTTTTATCTAAATGTTCGTAAGATGAAATTTTCCCTTAAATATTCCTTGCCTTCAATAGGTTGTAGAGTAAATTTTTCTCTTAAATGTTCATAAGTTAAATATTTTACCTTAACTAAAGAGAAAATAACCTATATCCAGTTCGGTAGAGTTGTAGCCATAGTAACTCCAACATTTGTGTCGTAGTTTAGAGGAAATCCTGACTGACGAACTTTTGGGAATCTATACCAAGATATTTACGATAGCCTGAGAGCAGCCAGTAAGAGTTCTCGCGGGTGTGATGACGTCAAGTTTCGTGATGTTATGAGTTATAAGACAACAAAAGTTTACGATATTTTTCCCTCAGTAGTTACGATTTTTTGAGGCGAAATGATTACGTGGGACTCCATGGCATTATGGGTTCGTGGCTAAAAGAATGTGACGGCAGGTATAGAATTTGTAGAGAAAAGGTCAAATAATTGTTTTAAACCGACTGTGAGTATGACATTTCTGTAGATAATTGATTTAAATAAACTGATGTACTGACCTATGAACATACTGTAAATATTTTCACTCTAAATGTCTTTCCATTCCCGGTTGTGGCCGAGTGGATAACACACTGACAGAATGACCGCCGTGTTTAAGGGCCGTTGGGTGTGGTTAGCACTTCTGGTGGTGACTAATCTTATGAGGAAAATCTGAGCGGTCGACTGTGTACTCGCTAATTCGGACTGGTTCTCTGTGCTGTTTCCTGACCTACTTCCCCTTACATTTTGACTCTCTCTCTCTCTCTCTCTCTCTCTCTCTCGTTTCCAGTATAAAGGGCGTCTCCCTCATACCCGTTTAACACGTCCATCGATCGTAATCTTCAAATGTCACCTTCTGCCTGACTTTTTGGCTGTGTGTACCACCTGTGTTTACCACCTGGATACTCTCTCTCTCCCACTTAACACGTCTCGCATCACTAATAACCTCCAGGTAACTTCATTAATGATTCCTAATTGAGTTAAAAAAAAGTTCCTTAATAAAATGCCCCTCCCCCCCCCCAACTCCCTCATGACCTGTCACCACCTATCCATGACCATGTGAGCCACGTCTTAAAGGCTCCCATGACCACTCGTCCTCCTCACAGAAACAGCGTATCCTTAAAATGTCCTCAAAACTGCTCTGAGATTCTACTCTCTTTGGACACGTTCGCTTATCATTAACTTGAATCTAAAATTAAATGTATGGATTTTCCTCGTGAATGTTATCTCCAAGTGAATGTTATCTCCTGGTGAATGTTATCTCCTGGTGAATGTTATCTCCTGGTGAATGTTATCTCCTGGTGAATGTTATCTCCTGGTGAATGTTATCTCCTGGTGAATGTTATCTCCTGGTGAATGTTATCTCCTGGTGAATGTTATCTCCTGGTGAATGTTATCTCCTGGTGAATGTTATCTCCTGGTGAATGTTATCTCCTCGTGAATGTTATCTCCTGGTGAATGTTATCTCCAAGTGAATGTTATCTCCTGGTAAATGTTTTCTCCAAGTGAATGTTATCTCCTGGTGAATGTTATCTCCTGGTGAATGTTATCTCCAAGTGAATGTTATCTCCTGGTAAATGTTTTCTCCAAGTGAATGTTATCTCCAAGTGAATGTTATATCCAAGTGAATTATATTTCCATGTGGATGTTGTCTCAAGGTGACTATTATCTCCAGGTGAATAACGTCTCCAAGGAGCTACAGGATGGCTTCAAGCTTTTAATACAATGAGAACATCTGGGAGGAGATGAGGATGTGAGTGTATGTTGTTGACTCGTGTACACTAACCTAACCAAACCTAACCTAACCAAACCTAAGCTAACCAAACCTAACCTAACCAAACCTAACCTAACCAAACCTAACGTAGAGTAACCAAACCTAACATAACTTAATATAGAGTAACATAACAAACCTAACCAAACGTAAAATAGCGTAACCAAACCAATCGTGTGAGACTCAAGTTAAGAGAACGCCCAATAATTATTAAAGGAACGTATTTAAACCCGGTGAATGGATCGTGTGAGACTCATCTAAGGTGAACGTAGTTAAAATCTCATAAGGGAACGTCAGTGGAAGAACGGAAGAAAGGTGATACAGCCACTCAGGTGATGACTTCATATTAAGTGAGAAGAAGAGGAGGAGGAGGAGGAGAACAGAGGAGAAGGAAAGGAGGAGAAGAAGAAGAAGGTTTCCTACTTGGTAAATTAATGGTCGAATATCGTGATATTTTTTGGATACTATTTTTATCCCGGTCAATATATATTTACCAAATGATTCGTCATTAATTTGTTTACACTTATTTTTATTAATTGACTGTGATTTACTTTATCTCGACTAGTTTACATCTCTCTCTCTCTCTCTCTCTCTCTCTCTCTCTCTCTCTCTCTCTCTCTCTCTCTCTCTCATTTTTTACACGACACAAAATTTATCTGTTCCTCAAAATAAACCCAACAATGCTAGACTTATCATTCCTCTCTATATCCGGGCGTCAAGGAGTCCCCCAAGGGCTGTGTATTGATCCTGGTGCCTCCTCCGTCTCTTAAGCCGAGTGGAGATGCATTTCCTGTGGTACATCCTGAAGCTGAACTGCTGCTGGCGGGGGACATTTGTCAACCTGAAGATCCACCTCCCACAGCTTATTTCACCTGAAGATTCGCCTCCCAACGCTTATTGTACCTGAAAATTTGCCTACCACAGCTTATCTTGCCTGAATATTCGCTTATCACAGTTTATTTTGCTTGAATATTCGTCTACCACAGCTTATTTTACCTGAATATCCGCCTCCCATAGCTTATTTTACCAGAAGATTCGCCTTCCACCCACAGCTTATTTCAGCCGAAGATCCAACCCCACCCACAGCTTATTTCACCCGAAGATCCAACCCCACCCACAGCTTATTTCACCCGAAGATCCAGCCCCACCCACAGCTTATTTCACCCGAAGATCCAGCCCCACCCACAGCTTATTTCACCCGAAGATCCAGCCCCACCAACAGCTTATTTCACCCGAAGATCCAACCCCACCCACAGCTTATTTCACCTGAAGATTAACCACCCTAGAGCTATCTTCAGTAACATTTACGTATTCACAGATTTTCGTTCAATTCCCAAACTTTTATTTTTTCCTCTTACGTATATATATGACTTGTGTGTCCCAGTTAATCGTTTAGCAGTGTTCCCCTTACCTTACCTTACCTTACCTTACCTTACCTTACCTTACCTTACCTTACCTTACCTTACCTTACCTGAGCCTATGTTATAATTGTCTAGAAGGAAGGAGGGGGGAAGTGTGGAGAGGAGAGGGAGAAGAGGAAAGGTATAGTAAAGGAGATGAGAGGAAAGGGAGAGGACAGAAGAGAGGAGAGGAAAGGATAGGGTTAAAAAGACAGAGAGAGAGAGAGAGAGAGAGCCACATCCAAACATTATTACTCACCCATACCTCATTACCAACGCCATCACGTAGGCTCCTGTAGAGAGACGTTCATTCGCTGATATATTACACCCCTGAACGTGTCCGCCGTGAATACCAAGCCATTTAGGTGGTAAAAGAACGGCCCTGATCGATGTGCCACTGAACGAATGCCATGGGGAGCCACCTTCATCACTGTCAAGGAGGTGAAGGAAAGTGATTCTTGCTAACTGTCTTGTAAGATACGGAGAGAAGGACTTGTAAAGGTGTTACATTCTGATGTTTTGTTTTGATTATGTCTTTAGCCTCGTGAGTCAGCTGTTAGAATACGTGGATTTGACATATATTCACTTGTGTTGGTGATTAATGGTGATCGTGAATGTGGGAGAAATGGTGATTAGAATGATGAGAATGGTTGTGAATATGGTTAATGGTGAGTACAATACATTATGTGATCAAAATTTAATGTATATGAAAATAAAACGGTATTTGGTGAAACTGGTGTGTGGTGACATTTTTTTCGTGCTAATATCAAGTGCTGGTGATATTTGTGTGTGACTTTTTACCATTATTGATGTAAGCTGCTGGTGATTGTGCTTCGAGTTTTATCATAATTGTTTTAGGTGAGTTTGCTGGTGATTGTGTGATGAATTTATTGGTGATTGTGTGATGAATTTATTGGTGATTGTGTGATGAATTTATTGGTGATTGTGTGGTGAGCATATGGTCTGGCTGGAAGTCCTGAAATACTGAGTCACTGTGTGTACATATATATCATTTTCAGGCAATTTTTTGATTAAGTGTGTGTGTGTGTGTGTGTGTGTGTGTGTGTATGTGTGTGTATGCGTGTAATTTGCTTGATACCAAAGAAGTTGACAGGTGTACATAGAGTAATAATGATGATAATGATGAAATGATGAAGATAACAATGATAATGATAATAATAATGATGATGCTGGTGATAATGATGACGTCTGGTTGTGATGTTGGCGATGTGATGTTTATTAATGATAATGATAATTTTTAGTGATTATGAACATCATTATTATCATCATCATCATTATCATTATCCTTTTCCTCATTATCATCATACGGACATTTTTTTCTGTACTTAGTCCAAGTTAATCCTATTGTCTCTCCACACACATGAGGCTCCAAGCTTTAGAGTAATAATTCAACGCATCTCAATAATCTGAATTATCGCCCACTCTCACTTATTCCCCTAAAATGAAGTTATCGGGAAAAGAAACGAAGGGGTGTAAATTAATCGGGCCGATGCCACAGAGACTATCGGGTTATCGGGACTCTGTTGTGGCGTGATCAGAAGCTCAATATTAAAAAAAAGGCAATCTTGATAAATACACTGTATGTTTATCGTGTTTCTTCTTGTAAATACCAAATGTCGAACGTATATTTTTTACATGTTGTTGGCATAATAAAATATGTGAAAATGATTATATGTTTGTTTTGGGTGTCCTATTTAGATGTAGATATGTTGTGAAGTAGAATTAATTGTCGTTTATTAATTTAGAATGTTAATTAGATCCTGATTAGAATACTAATTATGGTAATTTATACGTTTGTTATGTTTTATACTCACACATACATACATAGATACTGTACACACACACACACACACACATTTAAACTGCTTTCTAAATTTTCTTATTTGTCGTATTATTTCTTGTACACAAATATGGCATTTACAAACGACAGGTACAGCTACAGTTACAGTAAGTTACACCTACTGACTGTACCATACCTGTAGCGTAAAGGCGTTGCTTTTACTTGATCATGAGGGAACTATACATAAAGAAATACATGTCATGGTGCAGCTCACACACTGGCCTCGACTGAAACACTATCGGTAAGTACTAAGGATTTGGTTTTCACACGTGTAGCCCAATAACACTTTTAATACGTATCTTTAACCCAAGTATTATAGTTTTAATGCACGGGTTACTCACAAGGTCTCTAGCTTAGTTTTAACCCAGGTGGGGAGTCTGTAACACACTAGGTACAGTCACCCAAAAAAGTCCTGTCGCGAACCACGAACCCCGAGATTCAGACTCGTGAACCCGAAGCAGTAGACACTGATACATTATTCTGTCCATAAATGCTTCGGATTCAAGAGTCTGAATCTCGGGGTTCATGGTTCGCGACAGGACTTTTTTGGGTGACTGTACGTAGGTAGACATAAAACAGGGAGGTGCTACTGCCGGAAGCATAATATGTTGTCTGATGGTAGACCCTGCTGCTAGAGGCAACACGAAAATTTTCACAAAGTCCCAGGTTGGTGACCTGACTGAATTTCTGCCTCAGGTACACATAGTTACAGGATCTCAATTGTTTCTCTTACTTTGACAACACAACATGTAGTATATCGTTTCTCACTCTTGATTTGTTTTACTTTTGTTTCCATTTCTCTATTTATTTATGGTTCGATTTATTTTTTTCCCCCCACCGAGGCTCTGATGTGGGTCAGTGACTTGTACCCGGGTGGACTAAT